AATATTCTAATACGTTTTAAATTGAATTTTTTCAGATCTTCTCACCTTAAGCTGCAATAAGAGGCTCGAACTTTTGGAGTCATTTTTAAGTCAACCCGATGGTGACAAGAAATTAAACCATAGCCTTAATTTAGAAGATAATTTTAAGGGACACCAATTTTCTCTGGATGCTTTATTGGACACATTCATATTACTCTATGATGAATGCAGTAATTCATCTCTACGGAGAGAAAAAAGTGTATCGGATTTTCTTAAACTTGGTAAGCAAGCAAGTAAAGTAAAGTCTATATGGTCTATGTAGGTATAAATAAATAAAACCACCCATTTATAGTCAATTTGTTAGGTCAATTTGTGATTTGTGTAATTAATAATTATAATTTCTTTGATTACTATACTATATTTTTATTTTCTTTACAATTTCAGCTAAGCCTTTTGTTCATATTGTCAGGAAGCTACGGCTGACGCGTGATGATTTTGAAATTTTAAAAATAATTGGCCGTGGCGCATTTGGTGAAGTGTGTGTTGTTCGCATGCTATCATCGGAAAATATATTTGCCATGAAAATATTAAACAAATGGGAAATGCTAAAGCGTGCGGAAACTGCATGTTTTCGCGAAGAGAGAGATGTGCTAGTCCTCGGAGATCGTCAATGGATAACAAATTTGCATTATGCGTTTCAGGATAATATAAATTTGGTATGCCATTTATTTAAAGTTTTAATTGAGTTAATTTATTTACATATTGATTTCTTATTTTAGTACCTGGTCATGGACTATTACTGCGGTGGCGATTTATTAACGCTGCTGAGCAAGTTCGAGGATAAACTTCCAGAGGATATGGCAAAATTTTATATTACAGAAATGATTTTGGCAATAAATAGCATTCATCAACTGAAGTATGTTCACAGAGATATTAAACCGGACAATGTTTTGTTGGACAAACGTGGGCATGTGCGTCTGGCTGACTTTGGTTCGTGCTTGCGTTTGGATAAGGATGGCACAGTGCAATCAAATGTGGCTGTTGGAACACCCGACTATATATCGCCCGAGATCTTGAGGGCTATGGAGGATGGAAAGGGTCGTTATGGAACCGAATGTGATTGGTGGTCACTTGGTGTATGCATGTACGAAATGTTATATGGAGAAACACCATTTTATGCAGAGAGTTTGGTGGAAACCTATGGAAAGATTATGAACCATCAGAATTGCTTTAATTTACCCGCTCAAGATACTTCACACAGTAAGTTATCTGAAGCATCTAAGGACCTACTACGCAGACTAATTTGTATTCCTGAAACGCGGCTGGGCCAGAAGGGGCTACGTGATTTTATGGAACATGCATGGTTTGAGGGGATCGATTGGGAGAATATAAGAAATGGTCAAGCGCCTTATATACCGGAAGTGTCGAGTCCAACAGATACATCGAATTTTGACGTTGACGACAATGATGTGCGATTAATTGATTCTATTCCGCCTTCGTCTAACCCGGCCTTTTCTGGATTTCATTTGCCATTTATTGGATTCACATTTTCTCAAAATAATTGTAGAACGGACCTGAAAACAGACGACTTGTTTCCTGATAGCAAACCGCAAACATCTGTTTTCGACGAGAGTCTTGGAAACTCAGTTTCGAGCAATAAGCAATCAAAAGATGCAGAAAAATCAAACGAATCACTCAATAAACAAATTAAAACATTAACCGAACAATTAGTCACGTGTAAGCACGAGAAAAACGAACTGTCCGCAAAATATAACGAAATACTTGAAAGACTACAAGTTCAAGAAGCTGAACTAAAGGAAACAATAGCTCAGCGTAATGTCGCAATGATGGAATACTCAGAAGTTACCGAAAAACTCACAGAACTTCGAAACCAAAAACAAAAACTCTCAAGACAAGTTAGAGATAAGGAAGAAGAGCTCGATGCGGCAATCCAAAAGAACGATAGCCTGAGAAACGAACTGCGTAAATCGGATAAAACTCGTAGAGAACTGGAACTGCATATTGAGGATGCTGTAAACGAGGCGTCCAAGGAGAAAAAAATAAGAGAACATGCCGAAGAATGCTGTCGAAAGCTACAAAATGATTACCGCAAATCGGTACCGAATGTCGACTCTACTTCGCCCTCGGGAATGGCGGCATACGAATTGGAACGCGTCGAACTTCAATATGCGGAAAAACTAAATCATCAACAGGCACGGAATAACTTTGAATTGGATGCCCTAAAGGAACAAATCAGCGAATTGGAAGCGGCCAACGCAATGCTCTCTAAAGAACTGCAGCAGGCGCATGAAAAGATCAAATCTACTCCCGATTATATAGCCGACTCAGCAGAAGCGATATTGGAGTTGCAGAAGCGATTCGATTTAGAGAAATCCACATGGTACGAGGAGAAGCAACGTTTGAACACTGAAGTCAGTACGAAATGCAAAAATCTACGAGACTTGCAGGCCGATGAAATTCAAATATTGAAGGAGCTCCAGGTGAAGCGCGAAGCAATAAATCATTGGGAACTGCAAATGGCCGAAATAATACAATGGGTATCAGATGAAAGGGATGCTCGAAGCTATTTGCAGGCGCTGGCAACAAAGATGACTGAAGAAATCGAATATCTCAAGCATGTGGGAACCTTGAACAATAATGCCGTTGATCATAAGAATTGGCGAAACAGACGTTCCCAAAAACTAGATAAAATGGAATTGCTAAATTTGCAAAGTGCTCTGCAACGCGAAATTCAGGCGAAGGCATCCATCGCCGAAGAGCTTAGTCAAACTAGAGCCGAACTCATTTCTACCCAAAAGGAAGCTGTCGATTATAAGAAGCGATGTGAGTCTATCTTATATGACTTGAAGAAGAAAGAGGTCGAACTGAGAGACTTGCAGAAAATGGAACTTGGCTATTCGGAATCCTTTTTGAATAAGGCATCGCATCATAATAATGCCTTCTTCAAGGATATGTCTATGAACACTGAAGTTGTGGAGTCTGAGGAATCCTATGCTAACGATGCAAGGGATAGTATTTCATCGGCCTCTAATTTGTTTCAGGCTGCGAATCCTGGCATGCTTTTCAACTATGAGTCGAAGTATTCACTCAAGCCAGGGAAGGACAACTTAAGTGTGAAAAATGCTGCTATGAATGACGACATTCGATCAGAGCACAGCCTCAACTATGAGGAATCAAAGAAGAAGATGAGCAATACGTCAATTCATCAGTTTCTCGTGCGAACTTTTAGCAGTCCTACCAAATGTAATCACTGTACTTCTTTAATGGTCGGCTTGACACGGCAAGGTGTTGTTTGTGAAATTTGCGGATTTGCATGCCACACTGTCTGCTGTCAAAGAGTGCCGACCATGTGTCCCGTGCCCATGGATCAAACCAAGAGACCATTGGGCATAGATCCAACTAGGGGAATTGGAACAGCTTATGAAGGCTATGTGAAGGTGCCCAAATCGGGAGTCATAAAACGGGGCTGGATTCGTCAATTTGTGGTTGTCTGTGACTTCAAATTGTTTCTGTATGATATATCTACCGATCGATGTGCATTACCTAGTGTAAGTGTGTCCCAAGTGTTGGATATGCGGGATCCCGAATTCTCTGTTGGCAGCGTACGAGAGAGTGATGTCATTCATGCTGCTAAAAAAGATGTTCCATGTATTTTTAAGGTAAGTTTGTATACAATTCTCTTTACCTTCAATTACAATGAATCTCCCCTTTATCTTCCCTTTTAGATAAAAACTTCTCTCATTGAAGGAGGAATCTCATTAAGCACTTTGATGCTGGCTGATAATGAATCTGAAAAGACCAAATGGGTGATTGCATTGGGCGAACTTCATCGAATTTTAAAACGAAATAATCTACCAAATACGGCCATTTATAAAGTTAACGAAATATTGGATAATACCCTGTCGATTATACGAAACGCTCTGTGTTCTGTTATAACTTATGCGAATCAAATTTTACTAGGAACTGAAGATGGATTGTTCTACATCAACTTGGATCAATATGGTAACGATTGAATAAATATTAAACTATATATTGTGTGAATTATAAAAACAATTTATTCTTTCAGAAATTGCACGAATTGGCGAAACAAAGAAAATTCTGCAGTTATGGTACATTGAGGAAGAGCAGATAATTGTTATTCTTTGCGGAAAACAGCGACATTTGAGGCTTTTACCTATAAGGGCTTTGGAGGCAAGCGACGTCGAATGGATAAAGGTCGTGGAGTCTAAGAACTGTATTTCTGCTTGCACCGGAATTATACGACGCTATCCAAGTATTGTGTACTCGTTTATCATTGCGTTAAAGCGACCCAATAACCACACCCAAATCATTGTATATGAAATCAATCGCACGCGTACAAGACACCAAAAGACTTGCGAGTTCACGATCGGATATCTAGCTCAACATCTACAGATATTGTCAGACATGCGTCTAGTTGTCGCACATCAAAGTGGATTTACAGCGTATTTCCTGAGAGGCGAGGCAACAGCAATGTGTGAGTACATTCTTTGTTTACTAATATATTTTTTATTTGTTGATAATATTTTGAATTTCTTTCTTAGCCCTGGTTCATCCAGAAAATCAACTCTGCGCATTCTTGAATTATTCTGGTGTTGATGCAGTTAGAGTAATTGAAATATTGTCCCCAACCGGTGGAACCTTTGGGGAATATCTATTAGTATTTCAGACTCTTGCAATCTATGTGGACTTGCAAGGACGCAAATCACGCGATAGGGAAATAATGTATCCAGCTTTTCCCACTTATATAAGTAAGTATTTTCAGTACAACATTATGGAACTATATAACTAAATTCTTTACTTCTTATTTTCAGCATATTCCGATGGTCATCTGTTAGTATTTTCAGAAACTCATTTGGATATATTCAATACACAAACATCTGAGTGGGTTCAATCCATTGGTATAAAGCAATCGCTTCCCCTAAACAATATAGGAAACGTTGTTTTAACATCAATAAATGATACACCTCTGATTGTGTACTTAGCTAATATTCATACAAGTAAGTGCTATAAATAATAAATCACATAATAAAAAGATGAAGGATTTAATTTTTAAATTAATATAAAATTTTTTTTTTCCAGAGGGACTTTTGCAGTATAATGATGGTGACCAGAAGGGAGTCAGCAATATTAAACGTAGATTTTCTATAAGAGAAATAAATAAAACCGTTAAAAGGTAGTGCCAAGAATTTACACAACTTTTGCAATGTAAAATTGTAAAGCACTCAAATTATTTTGTGTATAATATATTTATTAACATTTAAATTAAATTACATTTAAATTTCAGTGATCGAAGATCAAAGATGATATCTGGGCCAACGAATTTCAACCATATTTCCCATATGGGGCCTGGTGATGGTATTCAAAATCAGCGATTATTGGACTTGCCAACAACGCTAGAGACAGCTGAGCACGCAAGTAAACAAATCATAAGTTCGTTAAATTCCGTGAACCAAATAAGGAAATGTAACTATCTGGATCAAGGTAAGTGCTAACAAAAAATGTACTATATTTCATGTGATATATTATTTTAAATTTTTAGAGAAATCTAAAAATGTGTTGTTTGTATTTATATTATATTCTATTTTATACCGACTAATCAAAATCTGTTTGATCGTTTTAGCTGATGGTAACTCAGAAGATTTTGGTAATGACAATTTGCCATCTAGGACTCCCAGCCCATTAGGAACGTTAATTTTTGATGACCTAAATAATATCGATTAAATTGTAATCTCCATATTAATTTAACCTAATGCCGAATAAACTCGAACAAATCAAATTTGTATTGCTAATGCATATTATTTTATAAAACTGCATGCAAAAATTTCAGCAAAACAACACGTTTTCTTACATCAACTTTATTTAAATATAAATAGTTATACAAATATGTTTATAAGCAACTATGTCTTTGGGTTAAAAACTAAAATTAATGATGGGTCATTCCATCAGTCCGTTCTTTTGTATCCCCGGATAGCAATCTAATGTCCTGATCTGATCGGCATTTCGTATGGCTGCCTTAGACAAATCCCGACGAGCAACAAACTTAGGAAAAAATGTGCAAGTAATCTCGAGCTACTTGAACTGATTTGAATGCTATCAATAAATAGGTTGTAGGTGCAGCTACTGGGCGGCTTTACAAATGTGGTAAAGTTGGGGTAGCGTATGATCTCGGAGGGCTGCAAAGGATAAATAATTTGTATATTCTGTTTTTGGTAAAATAAAATTGAACTTACAATTGACATGGACTCATTGGAAACACGACAAAAAGTCATATGTTTGCCGGTTATCATGGCATGTTCCACGCGTTTGGTAAATAAAGGTTCCGACCAAGGCAATTGATTTAAATGTGAAAGGAAAGTGCGATCATGAAACTCCACAGGATCCGATATAAGCAGTTTATCTAAAAAAGTCAACAGTAATGTTAGGCATATTCATATCAATATCTCTATAAATATTCATACTTAGTAGGGATCCTTCCACGACCATGTCTTCAGCGGTCATATCGGTGTGGTTTGTCTTCGATTTGCTATATACCGTGTTGGGCATGTAATCTAGTAAATTTCCGTTGTACAGAAATAGGTTTTCAACATCTGTCATATTCAATGAATAGAACTGATTGACACCAAACATCTCAAAGAATTCACGCACTGGCGTCATGCTATAACAGCCGGCTAGCTCGATTTTCGGGTAATACGTGATGAAGGATAAACACATTTCCTGTTTGGTTGAATAGCCACCGAATGTGGTTCGTTTGCGATGCAGAGTGTCATAGGCACAGTCTGTAATAATATAATCTCCAGGCAAAACGACTGTCTCGTTGGCCAACTGATGAAATTGCTGATACTTATAATCATAGTTATCATCCTCAATGATGCGTGGCAATTCCTTGCCGCCTCGAATATGGCGCAGACTCATTTTGCGACCAGCGCGATGCGTGTGTAGAGTGCCAGAAATGATTTTAATGCCATCTTCGGGAAACAACTGAAATGATTGACTTTAAAATAAGCAGAAAACATTTTAAGTAGCTTTTTACTTACAACATTGGAGCACGAAGGTCCACAGATGCCAACATTGCGGTACAACTTTTGACCAGGCGGAATAATTTGGGTATCGGAAATAGAAACTCCACTAATAATAATGCCCCCATCGTTAGGGCGTATCTCGGGCGTATAATGAATACGAAATCCAGAATGATCAATGGCTGTAAGTATTCATGATATAATTTAAATTCTTAATTTAGTTGAAGCTCTCATTTACCGCGCAAAGCTTTTTGGTTATCATAATGAATTTCTAGCATATAATACTTGACGCCCGATGAGCCACCAATAGGTATACCAACATGCTCTGGTAAAAATTGTCCTGACGAGCCAATGGACCAAACAGCAACTGGTGTCGAGCATGAATCCCAGTCGCGTGGCGTCAATGAGTTGCTGTTGCATACGGTTCCCGTACTTCTGACCCAAACATCCCATGAGGCGGCATTTGAGCCGGGATAAGATTTCGTTGAGCATTCGAACAGAGTCATGTGATGCACAATTGTTTCGTCGCTTTTCCTATAATTTTACAATTGGCAATTTAGAGATTTGATTTCATATTCGAATTAGGTACTTACGAAATATGTGTTAATAGTGGCTCATAGCCAATAATATGATGCTTTTGTTTCAGCATTGGAGCGCTGACAATCTTACACCAATACAAAGTATCCATCGATGGCTCCAATGTAACATTATTTACAACAATATCCCATTGATGAGTGACCTGCTTGGCTGTCATACTTTGCTTCCTGAAGACGGGATTCAGTAAATGCATAGGCTTCGCACCACGATTCTTACCATGCCCATCTAGATTTCCATGTATCGGATCCTCATTGCCAAACGACCACAAAACTTTTACCGTGTCGTGCTATAAAGAAGAGTTTTATTAGTTTATTTCTTTGAAGATCTAAATGAGTTCATTTACATACGCTTAATGGAATATCGTATGGATCACACGTTTCAACCAAACGCTTGAATTCAACAATGGTGTGAGTTTCATTTTGTCTGCCATCAATAACGTGATAGTTTTGAGTATCATCTTGTATGGGTGCTCCGTGCGGATGTTCGAGTGAACCATGACAATCCTATCAAAACAAAGAACCGTGCGTTAATATATGTAAATATGTTAAGATATAGATCAGCTAAAAATACTTTGTTTGAAAAATTATATCTAGGCATAGGCAGAAAAATCTTTAAAAGTGTTTGGGATCGTTTATTGTTTATGTTATCCTCGTCAGCTGTTTGTCCATTTGAAGACCTTTCAGATAATTGCTTCAGCAAATGGCTAATGTGAATGGCAGATGTTGATAAAGACCAGCTGTCTAGGCAGCGCAGGATATACATAAATAGAAATATACATATTTACACATTTCATTGGAAACACGCCGTAATCAAGAGCTGTAAGAGTTGATTTGCACGACCTTGACCTTGGTATATTTTTGCGTAAGTCTTCCTTTGATTTGTAGTCTGTTTATTTATATTTGAATATTAATGTGGGCTTTAACAATGGAATTTTAATGCTTATTTGATTATCTCTTTTTTTGCTTTATCTGAAACCATAAAATGTATTGTTGGCTCTTTTAATTGCAATTTTAGATGTATGTATTATAATTTATACACATAGCACTTGAATAATGATATGATAATTAATTATTGATCACATATTGAAATAACATAAGGTGTCATTTGCGACATTTCTTAGCTAAGGGCCACTAAATTAGACACCCTGTATATAATTTATTTCCGATGTTTTGTTACATACATTCCCTCACGCACACAGGCACATGCAGCGTCACATGCATACATGCATACATATGTACCTACACTCGAGGGCTGTTCTTTTGCTGCTTCTGCCCTTAAATACCATTTATATATGTACATACACATACACTTTAATGAATCACAAATTAGTCACACACTCTTCCATACTTACTATGATTCTCTTGTAAATATTTTAATTGTTTTTATACTCCATACAACTCTCTAATGCACTCTCAATACTCACCAATGCATTTGCTTTTCCTGTGTGATCGTCTACCCATAACAAAACCATATCAGCACTGGACATGCGAGCGTCTTTTTTGGAAAAGCCAAGGCCAATGAAGCCGCGAGTATTGACCGTGGCTTTGAAGTAAATATCCTTTTCTTTTACTTGCCACTCCAGCCAATATAATCCATTGTTGTCCATCATCTCTAGCCTTTGCCAGTTCTGATGCCGCACCGATTTATGTGCAATTGCATCGCTATGATGCGCACAGTTTACATTTTGCCATATATAAACGACAAATATACACAGTTTTGTGAATATTTGTAGCAACATTTGGAACTTCTCTTTGTTTTCCTTTTTTATATATTATTTTTAAATCAACGACACTTAAAAACTACGCGCCTTTTGTTCTGCTCGGTTGCACGCCTTTTCCGTTTTAATTCGGCTTCAATACTACGTTTATGCACACGCTTCAGGGGAAAGATCATTTCACAAGCCGGCAGATGTTCTGAAGGAGCTAAACACACCACCTTTTGCGCACACACAGGTATACACAAGCGCTCAGAAATACATACAAGAATGCACACACACATAGATACATACGCATACATATTTACGTATGCGTCGTCCTCAAACATGATCAAAGCAAAAATATCGATGTTTTATTAATTACAAAACATTTAAACGATATACAAAGGATTGTTAATATCGATAAATTGCAAGTAAATGATCATTGTCGATGCATTCAATTTATTCTATATATTAGAGGCACGAATTATCTTAAGATTTACATTTGATATTGTATTTGTCATTAGCATAGAATTATTTGCATTTCAATTCATTTAACATGAATAATTTGTCTACACACATATTTTTTGGTATGCATAAGCTCAGTAGTCATAAGAAAGCTTCAAATTTCGCGGGCAACGTAAGTAATTAAAAATTTTCTTTCCATTACGTCATTTCCATTAAAATATCGATTATCTGTAACGGCTTACCGAAAACTTACCTTTATCTTATTTCTTAATCAACCATAAGATCTTTCCCAATATCAAGCATTAATATTGTGTGTCTGCTGTTTGACAGTTTCCCCACTTTCTAAACAAATCACTTCATTTATATAAATAAGATACAAACAGATTAACAGTGATTATATTTACAATTTGTATGGGATGATTGCAGCGTTTTAAGAATAATACTTATAACGTCACTGAACAATTTTAAAATAATTATCTAGTTTTATGTCGCTACAATATGAAATTAATAAAAATAAGTTATTATTTTTAAGGGTAACAAGTTAAAATTAGAGAATTCTTTCATTTAAAATTGGCTATAACGCATGATTTGCTATTATATGGACGAACAATCATAACCTAACAGAAATTCTTGTCTCTCAGTAGAAAACGTTTCACGTTACATTTAGAATAATTAAAGAAACTCTAAGACGCAGTCACTGGGCCTAGGGTAATAGTCTGTGGCTGGGGCATCCTCGGACGTATCATCATAGTGGCCTTCTTTAAAGTATAATCCCAGCCCCGCCAGCGGAACCATACAATACCCTGTCGAGCGGTTAAATCTTGTGGATCATGCAGATATAGTCCATTCAAGCCGCGTCCGCAGGACTTCCACCACCAACCGCCCTGAAAAACCAAAGTAATAATAGTGAATAAGCTTTTGTAAAATTTGGAGTTCACATTTGTATTTACCTTCAGCATGCTTGCACAGTTGAGCGAGCTTCTATCATTGTCTTTATTGTACGTGGAAAACGGGCTATTGTTCGATCCATACCATGGATCATTTAATGAATCGCCAGCATTTCCTTCGTATCCATCAATTTCTAGCTTGTAATAGTCCGCTTCAGAGTGTATTTTAAAGTGTGAATACTGAGCATATCTAAAAATAATTGCAGTCAGTAAGTAATTTTAATTTAAAATTAAGAAAATAAATCAACTTACCTCTTGTTACCTTCAAAATCTTCCAGTTCTACGCGCAGTGCGTAGTCTTCATTATTCGTTAGCATATAAATATTTTCGTTGCCTAGCCAAAATTCCTTATTAGGTTCGCCAAATCCATTTTTATAATCCGCCCAATCACGATTGAAGTTTTCTCGTGGTTCTCCGAAATCATCGCGACGCTGAATGACCTATGATTCGAGAAATTTAATTAATTATTCCATTATTAGAAAAATCAATAACAAGAATTATTTACCGTCCATCCACCATCCGCAATTCCCTGTTCACAGTACACCTTTAAGAACCAATATGTTGTGCCACGAATTTGTAGATAAAATACTCCAGATTGTTTCATGCCAGCATTTAAGATATCTACACAAGAGAATCCCTGGAAATATGCAATTATATAAACAATATAATTAGTTAAAGTTACGATTCAAACGTACGTTTTAAAAGTGATTTTTTTTTTCAAATTTGTGTTTGGCGCGCATGGCCAAAATTTCTAATGTACATAATTCCCATCTGCTTTGCAGTATTTTTTCACGATCGATATTTATAGCATTAAAAAGTTCGGTCACTCTTAAACGATTTGTTTGGGTAGAAAAGTGCAAATGTTTATATTAACCGCAATAATATGCTCAGTAATATTTATTTTGAGATTCTCCGCATGCGAAGAACAAATTGTGGATGTCAGAAAAACACTTGTGTGGGGCCCGGGACTTAAGCCGGACGATATCGTGTTGCCGGCCAGATATTTTTTCATTCACGCCGTCGATACAAACGGGAAAAAGTAAATAACAAAAAAAAAAAAAAAAAAAAAAAAAAAAAAAAAAAAAAAAAAAACAAAAAAAAAAAAAAAAGTCAAAGCCCTTAAAGTATTAAACTGTTTCCCTGTATTGCAGATTCGAATCACGTACATATCTGAAATTCCATGTTCATATCAATGGAAACTCACCGCACGGCAAATGCCGATACAATTTGAACCAGATTGATCGCGCAGATGGATCGACAATTGTGCGCTACACGATTGCCGATTGGTGCGACAATCTCGAGATTAATGTGCTATATAATAATTCCCATGTGGCACAGTCGCCCTATTTGATGCGGAACAAAGTCTATTCGGAGCGCTGCTATTGTCCGCAGGAGCTGAATCTCTGGCTGCTAAATAACGATTGTGCCGCTTTCACAGAGGACAAACAAATCTCCTGGGATTTGCATTCGTTTAAGCGCGTGAATTTTAGCGCCATTCGAACTAATTTATTGAAACGATATAATGCGCCCGAGAGTATATCTCTGTGCCACTATGTGGTGAAGAATCAGCAAATTTGGCGAACTTGCTATGGCAAATACACGGGCTTCAAGATGTTTATGGATGCTACGTTATCTGCTTTAGCTCGAGTTGTTCTTCTGCCCGATATGGAGTTTTATCTAAATCTTGGCGATTGGCCGCTATCTAAGAAGGGAGGTCAACAGCGAACTTCAGGGCCGTATCCAATTTTTTCATGGTGCGGCAGTGACGACACATACGACATAACATTGCCAACATATGATATTACGGAATCGACTATTGAGAATATGGGTCGAGTTATGTTGGATATGCTCTCTGTTCAGAAAGATGAATATTTATGGGAAGACAAAGAGGAAAAGGCCTTCTTTCGTGGCAGAGATTCGCGACGAGAGCGATTGGATTTGATTGACTTGGCTAGAAAGTACCCGGATGCAATCAATGCCTCCATAACAAATTTCTTCTTTTTCCGTAATGAGGAACATAAATACGGTCCCAAAGTACCGCACATATCATTTATGGACTTCTTTAAGGTAACGTACTATTACCTTTTCATAATTTTCTATGCTAATATCTTTATGTCTAATTTTCTTTCCAGTATAAATATCAGTTAAACATTGACGGCGCTGTTGCGGCCTATCGTCTGCCTTATTTGCTAGCAGGCGGCTCTTTGGTCTTCAAACAGGACTCACATTATTACGAGCATTTTTATAGCAAGCTGGTGCCATATAAGCATTTCGTGCCCATCAAGCGTGATCTGAGCGACGTAATTGAGAAGATCGAATGGGCCCGAGCAAATGATTTACGTGTTAAGGAAATCGTAACGAATGCACGCGCATTTGTCGAAGAGAATCTCTTGCCGCAACATATTTACTGCTATCACATAGTATTATTTAAGGAGTGGAGCACTCGCCTGGTGTCACCTATCGAGGTGCTGCAGGGCATGGAGAAAGTCAACTCCACCTACACTTGCTCGTGCAAAGAGAAGATGCCCAGGGACGAGCTTTAGACAGTGTGAAATCATTCCGATGTTTTTACTTACATCAATCATATCTCAAATTGTATTTAACTTAACCTAATCATAGCATAAATATTAAACAAATTTTAACACATTTGAATACGTCTTGAGTTCGTTCTACTTACTATTCCTTACTGATTCCTTTCTATTGATAGGGACGATCTGTTCTAAATTTGGTTTCTTCTACTATATATTAAAAGTTATATTCCTTACCTTGACATCCTTTAGAGTATAGATATCACTGGCCAGGGTATTGTTGACGACAGCAGGTTTGTTCTTTACACTGGGAAAGATAATGCCGCCTTTACGAAATACCGATTTCGTAGGTGTCGAGCTCCATGCAGTAGTTGTGGCCGATGTGGTTGAAGTTCCATTAGACGTGCTGTTAATAGTGTTGCTCGATGAGGTCGAATGACCCGTTGACGTGCTCACAGTGGAATATAGAGCTGTTGTACTGCTGTTATATGCCGTGGACTGGGCTGTGGGTGTGGGCGTTGTGGCTGGCTCATTCAAGTCAGTCAAACTTTCATCAATCACAGAAAACCTACATGGAAAAGATAAGTTGAAGAGAAATTCTTTGATATAATAAAAATGTTCCTACCTGTTCGGATCGTACTCGACCAATCGATCAATGGTTGGATCAACTAGCAGCTCCGTTGGAACTGGCCTTTGTGCTAGTATTTGTACATCATCCTCTTGCTTCTTTAGTCGCTTCTCAACCATGTCCAAGTTATTAATTATTAAATTCGTTTTGGTTTTCAGATCCTGATGGATTTCGCCAATTGCACGTTCCTGCCGCTGCGTCTGCGTTAGCAGCGCATCCGACTTGGGCAGTAGATGATCCACCGAAGACTTTGTACCCACCACAACGTCCCAGACTTCGTCCATTTTCTCAGATACCGATACCATTGGCCGCATCTGTTTAACTAGAGCATCGATCTTACTGGATTTGATGGCTGGAAAAGCAGTTGTGGTGACATTGAATCCATTCAGCTGTTCATGATGATCCACGACAGCATCATGAATGTCGTTCATCATGCGCAGCATGCGACCTATATTCTCCGACTCGATATTGATGTGAAATTGCAGCTTCTTGTCAATGTTATCCGTGGAGTCGCGCAGCTGGTTGACTTCGCTTGAGACATGCGTCATTACCTCGGCAGTCATTGCCTTTGTGATCTCAACGATGTTCATGGTAATTGGCTTCTTCTCGCTTGCCTCCGCATTGAATTCGTCCACTTGCAGGAAGTTGTTATCGATTTGCGTCTTCAAGACCTCCAGTTTCAGATCAATATCGCTGACTTTCTGATCCAATTTGACCAGCCTACTATCGATTTGGTAGGTGGCTGAAATTTTCGGATTCGGCTTATTCAGTTCACTCTCTGCAGTCACCTCGGGCATAATGTAAACGACATTCGACAGCTTGGAATCCAGGCTACTTAGTTTCGACAGCGCCTCTTCTGTCTTTTCCACATTATTTGTGACACGATTTTCTAGTAGTTCTATGTGCCCCATTAAATCCTCAACGGATCTGCCCAGATTATCGATGCGCTTCAATTTCCCTTCGAGCGTTGTTATAATTATTTCAAATATACTCAACAATTGTTGTTCTCTGCAAAGGAACGAAAATATATGTTTTTTATATGAGTGGAATGAAGTATTGGAATTTATGCTAATTACTCTTAATTAATACTTTTTCACTCTTATATTAAATATA